ATACGTCGAGTCTTCATCGATCCGTCTTCTGATATCACCCCTTTGTAATTCGCTCACGTCCCATGAAGCCCACACAAACCGCCCATGAAGGAATCTCGCCTCCGGAGACGCAGCCCAGACAGCAAAGTGTCCCGGAAGGTCAACTAGGTACATCAACATTAATAACAAGCCAAATTGAGGTGTTGCAGTAGCGTTTTATCAGAACTCACCGTGGTCCCAGGGGAATGAATCTTCTTTCCATCCCTTGGCCAGAGCGTTCTCGGTCAATATGGCGCCCGGGTGATAGCTGATGACTTGTAACTCATCAGGTAGGGTGTCTTGCGCGATCAGCTGCAGACCCAGCTGGACCGAGTGTTTTGTCAACCCGTAAGCTAGGTATTCACCGCCAATGTTGAAGTCGTGGACGGAGACCGACGAGACGTAAATGAGATACTGCTCAACACTTGAGTTAGGTATATCTAATATAATATCACGATATGAGCGAACTTGCCTTCGTCTCAGAAGTCTCTCTCTTTTTTTGCTTGTAGAATCGCTCCGATATCTGCAGCTGTGCCCGCACATTCATATCAAATATCTTCCAGAGTCCCTCAACCCCCAGGTCGCGGAGGGGCTTCTCGGGCGGGAACGCGACAGCGTTGAGCACGAGGACGTCCACAACTACATCCTCTGATTCGAGCTTGTCCCAGAGAGCATCAACGGCCGCTGAGTCCGACACATCACATGGGATCCCGACGACCTCTGTCTTATCGCCTGCTTTCTTTAGGTCTTCGGTGGCTTTCAATACCACATCTGCTCGGCGACCGGTAATGATCACCCTGGCAGCAGAAGCGCTTACGAATCCTTGGGCGATGCCATAGCCGATGCCCGTGTTACCACCAGATATTAGCACCGTTTTGCCGGCTTGTGAGAGCTCGGGACGCAGGGGGGAGATGGCCGGGTAGGTGTTATTATGGGCGGTATCCGTAAACTGCGCGTATTTGCCGAACATCTTAGCGTAGTTAGTGAAAACAGACAAGCTCGAAGCCCGCCAAAATCAAGTCTCAGGCACACGCCTATGAAACCCGTTATTTATTTGGCTTGTGTGGGTATTACTGTATCAACAAGGAATGCATTTCGGTATTACTGAAAAGGGTAATCCCACATACCTGCAGCGTAAGCACGTGGTCTTCGCAGAGAGCTTTTATATGCGGGGTGACGGGTTATTCGGATAGCAAATCATGCTCGGTGAATAGTTTACATTATTTAATACTAGTTAATTATACTTAACCAAACCCGCCTATCTCGTTCACCAGGTACTTGCAACAATCAACATTATTACTAGCATTCGTTGAAATTACCACTGATGTTCCCTATGCGTCCCACATCATGAAATAATCTATTCTCTATCTTATTAATGCTCCTGTTATTCTCGGAGCCCAAAGATTTAGACCAAATTGGCGTGAAAGCACAAAGTCGAAGAATAGAATGCCTGTAGGTAAAAGTGAAAGGCGATATGGGTTCCCATAAGCCAGCTCCGAGAACACTACAGAGGGGGAGTGACGGTGAGATTACTTGAGTGCCACGGCTGAGCGGATAGCTAGCCATATAAGAACGGGGCTCCAAGGCATCAGAGGACATCTGCCGGCCAGGTTGGGCTAAGGTGACGACGCTCAGCCGAACGGCAGCTCGCTCCCGGTTCAAGGTGATGCTGAAGCTCCCTATCCTGTTCCTGCCACGATTCACCTCTAGACGATTTGCGGTGCCGCCCTGTCGAACAACAGGTTGCTCGTATCGGAGATCTTCCACTCAATAGCATGCGTATCCCAATACGAGCAGCTCATAGATCTGAATGCTCTAACGCGACTATTGACTGTAGCCTGAGCTAGAGCAGCGCTCAAATTGTCGACTATGTCGCTGCGGGTGAAGCCCGGGGGGGGGGGGTTCTGTTGACGTCCGGAACTCTGACTACAACTGTGCAGCTTCCGTTGTACCAGACCCCGAATACATCTCTTGTCGGGATCGTGGCGTTACCATCCCCAGAGTATGTATCTAATCGTTCTGTTCCTATTCAAGGTCGAAACCATATCGTCACAGTCGGCAACAAAAGGGGATTCAGATGTGGTGTTGGCGTTCCATGTCACATTGTGACATAAGTCGGTTTCACTGTACACGTCCTTTCTAAGCCAGTGGACACATGGCTAGTTAAGCGTGGGGGCAGCGGTGGATAATATCAACGTAGTAAAGTGCATATTGCTAATGAAAAGAGGAGACAGATTACCGATATGTGATGTGTGCGTGTGTGCGCGTGTCTGTGTGTGTCTTCCTTCGTGCTCGTATGGGTCTGGTTGGTACAGGTGTGTCGTCCCGTATGCTTGAAATCTCCACTAGAGATGTAAAAAGCACGATTGCTTCGGACATAGGCCACATACTTATATTGGAATCAATCAGCTCCTACATACCATTAGTCATAACAAAATCCTCGTGCAACAGTTCTAACTATATTAAATTCCTAGTTACCTGGGTGTATTACTAGCTGCCCGTTTCGTTATTGTAGGTGGATCCGATCGAGAATCGAGATCCTTCACATTGTGGTTCTTCTAGATGAAGAGGCATAGCATGACAAGACGAGGGTCATGCCCCTGTTGTACATTTGTTTCATTGTATTGTGCTTTGTCCCTGCGCTTCGTTCCAACGGCGCATGGAGCGAGAGAGAGCAACTACTAACATTCAACATGTAGCATTGTGCACCTTATGCCTCGACCCCCCGGGACAATTTATGCGGGGGCGCGTTGGTTGGACTCCCGATTTGTGTCGCGTATAGTCGTTAATACCAACACGGGATTAACGGCGTCGTTTTTCCGTGACAATTTGTCCGGCGCGGTCTGCAGGGAGAGTTGATTGCGATACTTGTCAATACCTAGGTTCATCGTAGGCTGACCCGGCGTCTTGGCCTTACCGGGGTCCTAACCTCGTCGAGTCGTCATCATGGTATCATTGATACATTCCTATCATTTAATGATCTATACAGTACTGAATCCCGACATGCACGGCTTGCAGAATTGATTGTCCCTCGCTCCCGTTTCCCGCCAGCGCGCATTGCGGTTGACTTCAAATTGATTGTTTAGATTGAAACTAGAAATGCATCCTTGGGCGGGTACCTTGCTGTAAGACAATTCGATTCATGCCCAAGTCCAGGGGTAAGGATTCTATACAAGTATCAGCTTGCAGCGTAAGCGTCGAGGCCTTTCAGCCATCGTGATGCACCGGGAGTACCTAACTAGAGCGCTACAAGTGATGAAGTCACGATGACGGAGCCCCAGCCTCATATTATCACTTCGCCGTAGAAAGGCGCGGTCATACCGTATCAATGAGAGAACCCTGGGATCAAAAGCAATTATAACAATCTCCTATAGCAAGTGACGTCTGGGCTGGCTGACTCTGACGCTGGTGACCAAAGTGTCAAATCGTCTTCTTCTATCCTCGTCGTGCATCTTATATAAGGAGCTCCAATGTGCCTACCCTCACAATCCTATAGCCACGTTCATCACACTCGGAACCCTTTAGACCCTGCCTTATTTGACGTATTGTAATAACACACCACATCCTAACGGGCACAATGTCACGCAACGTCTGCATAACTGCTGTAGACGGGCAGACCGGCTTCTTGATCGCCGAGCTCCTATTGTCTCGGCCGTTCACTGGCAAAGTTGACTCAGTCGTCGGACTGACCTTAGATCCGTCTTCCCCCAAGGTCTCGGAGCTCGAGTCTCTCGGTACCAAGATTGTTGAACATAAGCACGGCCGTGAGCACCTCATGGTCAAGACCCTGAAAGACACTGGATGTGATACGATTTGCCTTGTGCCGCCCGCGCATAGCGACAAGATGGACATCGCCACGGAGCTTGTCAATGCTGCCAAGAAGGCCGGCATACCCAATGTGCTTCTCATCAGCTCTGCTGGTTGCGACTACGCTAGTACCCGGAAGCAGCCGCGTCTGAGGGAGTTTATTGAGCTCGAGAGCCTAGTCTTGGCCGCGAAGGGGGATGCGTCGACTAGCACCAGTCATTCACCTTGTGTTATCCGGTAGGATGCCCCGTGATTGAGGTGCTAAGGCTTGGGAACTGATCGTGTATTGTAGGGCTGGCTTCTATGCCGAGAACCTTCTCCTTTACGCGCCACAGGCGAAGACTGAGGGAATCCTTCTTTTGCCAATCGGGAGTAACCACAAGTTCGCACCGGTGGCCCTCGGAGTAAGCCATCAAGTCAACAGATACCCACCTCTTCCTTTACTCACCCGTCTCAGGATGTTGCCCAGGTCGCTGCGCATGTTTTGTCAGGCAAAGGGCCACACGGCTTCGATAACAGGCACCGAGGCCAGATGATGGTCGTAACAGGTAGGCGAGATCCAAATATATCATTGTTAGCAAGCCCTAATGCGTATATTCCTAGGACCGATGCTCTGTAGCGGCGAGGAATTAGCCACGGCGGCGAGTAGTGCTCTCGGAACCAACATGAAGTTCGAAGACATCTCTGTGTGAGTGATGAGCTCATTGACACCCAATAACAACCACGGGTTCGTCCGTTTACCCTTGTACTGACTGCTTCATTTTAGAGCGGAAGCAAAGAGAGTGCTGCGTAGGCAATCAGAAAGCGATGACTCTGAACAGCAATACCTCCTTGACTACTACAGTCTGGTACGGGAGGGCAAAACGAACTATATTTCCACAACAGCGTTTCACGACGTCACTGGAAATCACCCCACGCAACCGACGGATTTCTTCAAGATGTATAATGAAGAATTCCGACCGAAAAAGAGAGTCAAGCGCCACTAAGAGATCGTCGCAAAGCGTATTCAAGTAATAGGGAGGGCCTGATTTTGTTAATTAATTTATTACTTATTCAACTTGAAGTTTTAAAAAATTGATTGCAATATGCATAATGTGCATGCTTCTCTCCACATTTGTTGTAAACGGATACAATTGAAAAAAATTAAGACCTTCGAAATGTGGTTACATAGGAATTGAACCCGACCCGATTTGAACGGATGACCTTCTGGATGCTGTTTACAGACTAAGCTGGAATCAGATGCTCTACCGCTGAGCTACGGGTCCCGCTAGATCTTCTCATGTGCTTGGATTGAAAGCGATCCAATTCACCGTATAAATATGAGCCAAAATGATATCTGGATAGCAGGTTCAAATTTTTAGTTTTTTTTTTGGTATCAGGAGCGGACTCGTCCGGTGCTTCTTCTATCTCCCCCAAGTGCGATGTCTCATGATGCAAGGAGTACCCGGATCCCTGTGCTTGGACATGACAAACTCGATCTTCTCCGTGCGCCTTTCAAGATGTATCGCCAGCTCAGAAATCGTACTAATCTGGCATTCTTAATGGAGGGACCGAAGTTAGCGCTGATTTTCTGCATTTTATATCTTGTCTTCGAAGTGCTCATTGCCGTTAATATGTTGTAGCCTATTTACGGAGCGCTCCGGGTCCGAGCGCATAGTACTCCTTTCGCAGTCATATCGTGTCGACGATGGTCACCAGCCAACTGTCACAGAATCCACTACGGATATGTTTCGGCCCCCCGGTCAAATGGGCAGGAACGGCAAAAGACGCGGGCCGCCACCGTGGTGATGCAATGATGCAATACGTATTGCCCTATAACTTTCAGGGTAGGTGATTTCAAGAAGTATGGTTGGCGAGGCAATGCATGATGTACTCCGACACAGATTGCAAGGTACGTAGGGTGATGATAAGATCGAAGTCTAAGGCAGGAGCCAGGCTTCACCAATTCGTCAAATGCAGAACGACGTCTATTTTACACCGACCCTTCGTATTCCGGCAACCGTTCAAGATCGCCGGGGCCGGCCCTATCGCTCGGATTACGGACTTCGGGACGAGTCGGCTGTCTGCCTCGATGAACAGAGCTCTCGTCATCGGCTGTCTGGCGCTGAAGTTGAAAAGCGCCGGTGTGCTCAAGCTAGCATCCCCGTTCAATCCCTGCAGCACATAGCGAGTGAAGTCGAGTAAGGGACACTGCTCGACGACCTTGACATGTCGATTAACATGGATTCCCAGTCATTGCCGCCGATGGCTTGTACAAACGAGATGTGTTCAGTATGCCGCATTCCGCCACCCCACGACGTTATGTCAGTCCGTGATTCTGACATGTTATACGCAGGACTCCCGGACCCCTTCGCCGTAGGCACCCTCAATGGCGAACAGACCAAGACCACGCAGGTGTGCAAACGGACGACCCAAGTTGAGCCTCCTTCCACAAGGCAACTGCACCAGGCTTTGGCAGAGATGCCTCTTCAAGCACAATCATTGAAGTGTGCCTTGACGCCGTAATCATAGCTCTGGTAACTCCTATACCCGTTTCTATCTCAGTGTTGGTTTTTTACAGCAAAAAAACTAGGAGGTCAATACTAGGAGTTACGGAGCTGCTAATAGCGTTAAAAGGGGCTAACTACGTATTATGTTCGGCTTAATTAAAGTATAAAATAGTTTAATATGTAAAAAAATTAACAAAACAAAGCAATACTTTTATTAAATTAAAATATCCCGGTTAAACACACAAAAGTAAATTAAAAGTAATATATAACAATAATTAAATTAAAAAAAATTAGAAAATATATATATTATATATTTATTATTACTAATATTAAAGTTTATATAAAAATAAATAATATTATTAATTATATTAAATTAAAAAAAAGTTAATATAATAAATAATATTATTAAATAACTTTAATTTATATAATAAAATTTAAAAAAATTTAAAAAAACTATATAATTAATATAAAACTAAAATTTTAAATTAATTATATTATAAAATATTAATTTTTTTATAATAATTATAAATTTAATTTTATAATTAATTTAATTTAAATATTAATATTTATAAAAGTTTATTTTATAATAAAATTAAACTTTATAAATAGTAATTATATTTTAATAATGTTGTAAAAGTATTACTATATTAGTTGCAACGCAATTCGTACAAAGCAATTTAATACGAATTGGTTTTTTACTTTTGTATAAAAGGGGCTTAAAAGGAGCGCTTCCCGCTTTTTTATTGTATAACTGTTTTTTTTCCTTTTTTTTATATAATATAGTATTTTAATAAACTATATTTACTACTTTTAACAAGTTAACGTATTTATATACAAATTTTGTACAAAACTTTATTATAATACTAATTAGTGTTATAATTATACTTTAATTATAAGCTTTTATATAATTATAATATAAATTAGTAAAAATAAAAACGGAATTTTAATTTAGTTATACTTTAATTATAAGCTTTTATATAAACTATATGTTTTATATTATACTTTAGTTCTTTTAATAATAAGCTAATAAAAAAAAGAAATTAATTACTTTTTTGTACTTCGGTTTAGCTTTTATATAAAAGCTTAATTAATAGTATATAATTGTATTACTTTTAATTTTAATTGTATAAACTGCGTAAAAGTTCGTTTAATAATTAAAACCCGATTACTTGTTGTACGAATAGCTAAACAATACTTCCCCCCCTTCCCCCCTTTTAATAACTATTATTATATATATAACTAAACAACTATTAACTATTTGTTGTACAACAAGTAAAACAGCACTCTTTACTAATAGTTATTATTGTATACCTAGCCGGACAATACTTGGCTTCCTTTTGTACGCACTTTGATGTACAATAGCTAATAATATATATATTCTGGTTCTTTTATATATAAAGCTTTTAACGAAGGCTTTTTTGTATATAAAAAAAACTACTTCTTTTTTTTTAAGCAAAAAAGTAAGGAGTACTACTTTTTTTTAGTTTTTCTATGTACGAAGCTTTTAATAAAAGCTTTTTTGTACAAAAAAGGGACTTTTTTTCCTTTTTTAAAGGAGTAAAAAAGCATTACCCCTTGTTATACAAAAAAACTTTAACAAAAGCCCTTTTTATATAATAAAAAAACGAAGCCCTTTTTTTGTATTAAAAAGCCTTAATAAAGGCTTTTTAGTACGAAAAAAAGGATTATTTAAGTACAATTAGTTTAAACCTTATATACTTTTTATTTTTTATACAAATTATATATATTGTATAAAGTAAGTTTTTTTATATTCGGTTTTATAGTTTAATGCTGCGTATATAATGCGTATTTATATATGTATTGTTGTACAACAGGAAGATAAGCTAAGTTGTAACTAAAAAAGATTTTTCTTAGTGTTGTAAAGGTATTACTGTATTAGTTGCAACGCAATTCGTACGGAGCAATCTAGTACGAATTGGTTTCTTACCCTTGTATAAAAGGGGCTTAAAAGGAGCGCTTCCCGCTCCTTTGTTGTACAACTGTTCTTCTTCCTTTTTTCTGTGTAGCATAGTATTTTAATAAACTGTGTTTACCACTTTTAGCGAGTCAGCGTACTCGTGTACGAATTTCGTACGAAACCCTATTACAACAGGTAAAATATTATTTAAATATTTTTAATAATTTAAATTAAAATAAAAAGCTAAAATAAAACAAAAAAATAATAAATAAAAAAAATAAAAATATTAATAATAAAGTATTTTTAATTAAACTACTTATAAAATATAAATAATTTAAAAAATATTAATTTAATTATAAACAAATTACTTTTAATATTAAAATAAATTAAAAAAAAAATAAGTTTAATAATAAAAAAAAGTTAAAAAAATAAAACTAATAAATATTAAAAATTTAAAATATTATTAAAAAAAAAAAAGCTATTTATAATTTTTAATTAATATTTAAAACTTAATTTATATATAATAAAAAAAAGGAAAATAAATAATTATATATTAATTTATTTATTTTATTTAAATGTAAAAATAAAGTTTTTATACGTAAAATTTTTTTAATAAAAAAATACTGCTTATATATATTATTTATATAATTAAATTTAAAGTTTAATTAAATAATAATATAAAAAAGTATTATTTTTAAATATAAAATATTAATTATAACTAATATTAATATTATAATAATAGTTTTTTATTTTAACTATAATATTTTTTTATATAAATATTATTAAAAAAAATATTAAAATAAATATAATATATTGTTTAAATAACTTTTATATATATAAAAAAAGTAAGTTATAGTTATTTATTATATAACGTTATTTACAAATTAATAATACATTTAAATTAATAATACATTTTTTAATAATTATAATATAACTTATAAATTTAATATTACTAGTTTATAACTAGCTATTTAAACTAAATATTAAAACTTGCATTTTTTTTATAAGCTTTTTAAAGCTTATAATATTTTTATTAGTACTTTAGTTTAATACTTTAATAATATATAATTATAAAATATTATAAATTAATAATGTTAAAATTTTATAATATTTAAAAAAAATATAATTACTTAATATATAATTAAACTAAATTTATAAGTATTTTTATTTTAGCTTTAATATATTAAAAAAATAGTTAATATTTTTTAATATATATATAATATATTACTTATTAAGAAAAATTAAGTATTAAATTTTATATAATAATAATTAAACTTTTAAATATATTTAAATTATTAAATTAATTATTAATAAGCTTTTAATAAAAGTTTTTAAAATTATTATATATAATTTAAACTTATAATTAATATAATTTTAAAATATAGTATTATAATTAAAAATATATATAACTTTAATAAAACTAGGTTTTTAATAAGTATAATTATATTAAAAATAGTTATTATAAGTATTAAAAAATATAAAAAACTTAAATAAACTTAGTAAAAAAGCTAAAAATAAATTATAATAATTTAAATTATTAATTTTTAAAATTAAATAGTATTATTATATATTATTTTTATAAAAAAAGTTTATTTTATATGTAAAATTTAAAAAATATTATAAAAACTATAATATTATTTTTTTTATATACTTTTTTATTTATTTTATAAGTTTTAATTTTAAATTTAATATTTTTTAGTATATTTAAATATATTTATTTATTATATATTAAGAATTTAATATAGTAATACTAAATATATATTATAAAAAAGGATTTTTTTACTAGATTTTTAAAAGTATTTATAACTTTTTTTATAAAATAAAATATTTAATTAAAATTTAAAATAACTAAATTTAT